TTTTTAGGATAGGTTCGTATGAATAGGATATGTATTCTTCGTGAGAAATCAGTTTGTATATCAGAGGTTGGTTTCATTTTGTTTTATGGCATATCATCACCTCAATGGGTTATTTAATGTCGACTAGATTTTTTTAACAGGTTCGTATGAATAGAATGTGTATTCTTTGTAAGAAATCAGTTTGTAGATAAGGTTTCATTGACATATTTTTGTAAAAAAAGTTTTCTGTCGAGAGTCACATATATTGCTGGTAATGTTTGTTTTTTTTTTCTTTTTTAAAAATATATTGCTGGTATTTTTACTATAAAACTTATTTTTTTTTTTACTTTCATAGTGTTTTGACTCTAGTTTGGCGGGGTAACTATTTGCCCATAGCTGGGACCCTAACAAGTGCCACCACCCCAGGTCAGTGTATAACTGGGAACGACAGCAATTAAGAGGTGTTTCCACGCTCCTGAAAAACCTCTCGATCAGAGGCCTTGCTGCCGGATGTAGTTTATCGTCATACTCAGAACGCGTGAGTGACTGGTTGACTGAGTGATTGAGTGAGTGGATAAGTCATGAGGGTATGAGTGAGTGAATGAGTGAGTGAGTGAGTGAGTGAGGGCAATGTCTAATCCAGGCATTGACTTCCGGGATCAGGGAGATTGTCTACCTCTCTTCTTTTTGGTGTTGCCACAGAATTCTTTGTAAAACTCTCACTGCGCATGCTGCTTCTATCTTTTCTCCCCCCCCACCTTTTACACAGACTCATAATACTGAAAAAGACAACCGCTGCTAATAGGTCTTTTAACGCATGCGTGTTTGGCCAAACAGGAAGTAGCGGCCACGATACAACAAAATACGCCGTACTTTTTACGGTAAGGGTAATCTGGTAGAATAGAATAAACTCAAAAGAACCTCATCAAAACTTGACCTTTAATCCAATACTCTAACCCTGCCCGGCAGTTATTGTTTTCTTTCATTGAAATAATAAGATCATGATTTTGTATTGTCCTTTCTGATTGGTTGTTTTCTTTTTGTTTTTGTTTTTGTTTCTCTGCAGGCGCGAAACCCCCACGGGACGGTTATGTTAGAATTGAAGAAATGCAAAGACTGTCCATTTTGGCTTTCGTCATTTTCTCTTCTTTGGCTGTTCTTGGCATTATTTTGGCTTGTGGATTCCTTGCTTTCAACATCAAGTTTCGAAAACATAGGTAAGAAAAAATGGCTTCCAAATGTTACATGCATCCAATCAGGGAGGCGTATCTGCTTGGGGAGGTTTTTCTTGTTTATAAACACATCTACATTCACGAAAAAAAAAACATATGCTTAATAAAAAGGAATATGTATAAGAAAGAAAAAAAGAAAGAAAAAAAGAAAGAAAGAAAGAAAAAAAGAAAAAAGAAAGAAAAGGGGAACAAAACACATATAAAAAAGAAAGATGGAGAAAAAATATTCATGTGTAAGAAAGAAAGAAAGAAAGAAAGAAAGAAAGGAGGCGTACAAAGAAAGAAAGAAGGAAAGAAAGAAAGAAAGAAATATTCTATATTCATAAGAAAAAAAGAAAGAAAGAAGGAAGGAAAAAAGGAAAATAACACATATGTAAGAAAAAAGAAAGAAAGAAAAGAGAAACAGGTAACACATATATAAGAAAGAAAGAAAGAAAGAAAGAAAGAAAGAAAGAAGGGAAAGCAATGACTCATATAAGAAAGAAAGAAACAAACAAACAAACAAACAAAGGAAGAAACAAACAAACAAATAAAGAATGAAAGAAAGAAAAGGGAAACAAATAATACATATATAAAAAAAGAAAGAGAGAGAGAGACAGAGAAAAAGAAAAAAGATTCATAAGCAAGAAAGAAAGAAAGCCTGGAAATGTAAGAAAGAAAGAAAGAATGAATTTAAGAAAGAAAGACAAACCAAAAGGAATGAAATTGCAATGAAAACTGTAAAAAAAAGCAAGTTAATGACATAATTTCTCGTTCGTTCGTTTTTTTTTGATTTTTTTTTTTTGTTTCGTTTTTGTTTTTTTTTATATCATTTGTAATAATTTTTCATCACTTCCGCTTTTGTTACAATTGTCTATTCAGCTTTGCTTTCTTTTCAATGATAGTCCACAATAGGAGTCTTTCGTTTCGTCATTTCACCACTTCTTACGTGTCTCGTTTTACTAACAACCCAGGCATAAGTCATGTTTTGCAATTACACTTTCTTTATTCATCTCCAGTGCATATCTGTGATATTTTTTATTCATATCTTTCTTTCTTTCTTTCTTTCTTTCTTTCTTTCTTCCTTCCTTTCTTTCTTTCAATCATATTTGCTTTATATCTGTCTATCTTTCTAACACATTTGGTTCATATCTATCTATCTATCTATCTATCTATCTATCTATCTATCTCACTACACACACACACACATATATATATGTATATACAGTGTAACCCGGATATAAGAGAGTTGTCGGGACCGGAAAAGTCTCTTATATCCGGGTTTCTCTTATATCCGGGCTTGGTCTAATTTATATGCATTAACACAGGCTCTAATTTGGGACCAGATAAAATCTCTCTTATATCCGGGTCTCTTATATCCGGGTCTCTTATATCCGGTTACACTGTATATATATATATATATATATATATATATATATATACAGTGTAACCCGGATATAAGAGTTGTCAGGACCGGAGAAAAGTCTCTTATATCTGGGTTTCTCTTATATCCGGGTTTGGTCTAATTTATATACATTAGCACAGGCTCTAATTTGAGACCAGAGAAAATCTCTCTTATATCCAGGTTTCTCTTATATCCGGGTTACACTGTATATATATATATATATCTTTCTGCATTCTGAATGAAATATTTAAAATTTTCCTTCTATGTTTTGATCGACAATGTTCGTTTAAATATTTCCTATAAGTTTCGTTGAAATTGATCAGTTATTTTTTGAGATATGTAAGAAAAACCAATGTGTTAAATACTTTTGCTACCACTATATATATATATATATATATATAAAATATATACGAAAAAAAACAAACAAAAATCCTTATAAGAAATTATGCTGTTTTAATGTTAATATGTCAACCATCTTCAGGACATATTCATAAAATATAATTAACATTATCAATTCAACATGACAAATGATAATGTTAATTACATTTTATGAATATGTCCTGAAGATGGTTTATTAGACCGAAACGTCCGACGTTGACATATTAACATTAAAACAGTATAAATTGCATATAAAGATTTTTGTTTGTTTTTTCCGTATGTATTTTTCTTCATACTGTCGGATCTATATCCATATATTTGCTTATATATATATATATATATATATATATATATATATATATATAATAAAGACTCAAACACTAATATTCCATGGTTATAATTTATTACATTGGAATCATAATCACGATCCAAATCATCAGACGTACAAATTCAAAAAGAAATCGGAAAATATAACTCTGGGTATAAAAAACAAAATTTTAATGTTAATGAAACATGCATAAATGAAGGATTGCTGCCTAAATACACAATTATATATACATATGTGTGTGTGTGTGTGTGTGTGTGTGTGTGTGTGTGTGTGTGTGTGTGTGTGTGTGTGTTCTGAATATCAGAAGATGGGAAACATTATCGGATTACATATTCTCATTTTTCACAGATATTTTATATATATATATATATATATATATATATATAATCTTAGATGACTCTTTTCCTTTTAAGTTTCCCTTTGTTTTTAACCATATTTTCTATTTACAGATTTATAATTTTGTTATATCTGAAATTCTACAAACACACACACACATATATCTACATAAAACCTTACAGACATCCATACATATACATACACATTCATTCAAACAAATATACAACGTATCTATCTATCTATAGATACACACACAAAGACATATATATATACAATTATATGCATATACAAATACACATACATATATATATATATATATATATATATATATATACATAAATGAAAAGGTAAAAGTTAAAAAAACACACACATTCCTCCATACATAAATAAAAATAGATGGGTAGAATTAAACTAATCTAGTAGTAATCTGTACTACTGAGGAAGAAAACGTTAATAATATTAAAAACCCACGGTTTGATTACCGCGTATATATATATATATTAAGTCTACATATATACCTAGTTAATAAAAAATATCAGAAAACTATCAGATTTTTTTATATCAGTTATTTAGGAAAACTTTTTACCTAAATACCCACACACACACATACCAACAGATGAATAAAGTTGGCTAACACAAATTAAATGATCAAAAAATATAGAGCGCCTCACATAAACACAGACAATGATATATATCGATAATCATAAAAGTCATTCCATTTAAATGTCATGCCCGATGTTAGTGATCCAAGATGGAACTGTTATAGTTAACAACACGTTATAAAACCGTGTTTATGTTTTAAAGCGTTTTTTATGTCTCCATTTGGAAATGATCTCACTACGAATATTCAGCAACTCATCTTGATTTTTATCTTTAATAATAAAAAAAATGTTCCGCAATGCATAGATCACACCGATCACGGAATTTATTAGGGGTTCTCGGTCTTGATAAGAATCTCCAGACCCTTATCCACCAGATCCCAGAAGTGTTTAGTTAAGGAAGTTTGATTTTTAAGGTATCGATATTTAAAAGAGCGTCTATGGTTGTATAGACGCTGCTTCCAGTTAACAGCGGATATACCTATGTATCTAATTTTTTTATTTTTTTTTTATGGTTGATATTTTCTATGGGGAAGATTGTTGCTTCATATATTACATTCTCATACATACATTCTCCCCCGATTGGACAATTAGCTCTACTCCTACTGTTGCAGGTGAGGCTCCTAGATCGAGTTTCACTACGATGGTAGGTCTTAACTATTTTACAATTGGGGGAAGATATAATTTTCTCTATATTACTTACACATGAATAACTAATTTTTAGTGTCTTCCTATTGAAAAATTTATATAGTGGATGTTTACTATTAAAGACCGTGATAGATAGAGAGATAGATAGATAGATAGGAAAAGACTGAAATATATAGATAGGAAAAACTTATATATATATATATATATATATATAGAGAGAGAGAGAGAGAGAGAGAGAGAGAGAGAGAGAGAGACCGTGATCGATAGATATAAAGAGACCGTGATAGATACATACATACATACATACATAGGAAGGAAGTAAGGAAAAGACGGAAATCGATAGATAGGAAAAGACTGAGATAAATAGATAGATAGATAGATAGATAGATAGATAGATAAGAACAGACTGAAATATATAGATAGGAAAAGGCATATATATATATATATATATATATATATATATATATATATATATATATATATATATAAAAGAGATAGAGAGAGAGAGAGTGACTGTGATAGATAGATATAAATAGACCGCGATAGATAGATAGATAGATAGATAGATAGATAGATAGATAGATAGATAGGAAAAAGACTGAAATATATGGATAGGAAAAAGACTTACATATATATATATATATATATATATATATATATACAGAGAGAGAGAGAGAGAGAGACCGATAGATAGATACATATATACATAGGAAGGAAGTCAGGAAAAGAAGGAAATAGATAGATAGGAAAAGACTGAGATAGATAGATAGATAGATAGATAGATAGATAGATAGATAGATAAGAACAGACTGAAATATATAGATAAAAAAAGGCAAATATATATATATATATATATATATATATATATATATATATATATATATATATATACAGATAGAGAGAGAGAGAGAGAGAGAGAGAGAGAGAGAGAGATTGTGATAGATATAAATAGACCGTGATAGATAGATAGATAGATAGATAGATAGATAGATAGGAAAAAAGACTGGAATAGATAGATAGGAAAAGACCGAGATAGATAGATAGATAGATAGATAGATAGATAGATAGATAGATAAGTACGTCTTTATATTTTTGCCTATACATCGAAATGCATGTGGCAGCGGGGAGGGACGCTGATTTCATTTCCATTCTCGTGTTATTTTTTTTTCCTTTAACAACTTCGTATTTATTTTTTACTTACTTTTTCTTACTTTCTCCGTGTCCAGCCATTCGTTAATCAATAACATTTTTTTTCCTCATGTCGATTCAGTTTTTCTTTCCTATCGTTATTCGTGCCTTACTTTCTCGCCTGAAGAACAGGAATTTTCCCGCTTTTTCCGGCGATTTTTTTTCTGTATCTAAAAGATATGATGTATAAAGCTTCATTTTTTTAACACCAACACACACACACATACACACACACATATACAGACAAAAACTTAGAGGCGCTGAAAGTCAGACTCTCTATACCGAACGCAGACACGCGCGTATTGAACACATATATTCGTACATAGAAAAATATACAAGCACATGTTAGAAAAATTAGATTAATATCGGTTATCAGAGCAAGATACGAACTCCATCGATGTTAACAAAATTTTACGCTTCAAATATATATATTTATGTATATAGAGATATATACAAAGTATATATACTTACAGATAGATAGATAGATAGATATACTTACAGATAGATAGATAGATAGATAGATAGATAGATAAAAAATAGATAGATAGTACTTTAATAGTCATTTTTTTACCACAGCATATTTTATTATTGATATCACTACTCTTGTTCAGTTTATTAATCTTAATCTTAATATTAATAATATTATTACTTTATTTATTTTCATGGGAAAAATAGAGTTGCCTCCCTTGATTTTCAAACGGATTTTTCTTAATCCTTTTGAAAACAACAGCGTCTCTTCACATTAGAATTTATAATTCCTATTCCCAACCTTATTTTCAATCTTAAATGATAATCTGAGCTTAAATTCAAATCCAAAATTAGACTACAATTCATTTAAATATTTTAGCTAAAATAATAATCCACCCTTAGAATAAAATATCTCGCGATAGACGGAAATATTATAGAAGCGGTATTCACCCCCAAAATAGCACCTGGTGAATGCGGAAGGTATGAAACTCAGAGTCATGCAATCAATGTAAGATATCATGTATATTTTTAATATAATCAATATCTCTGTTATTTAACATTGAAAACTGTTTTTCTTGCATATATATATATATATATATATATATATATATATATATATATATATATATATATATATATATATATATATATATATATATAAAAGCCAGGCAAACCTACCTAGTTTTTTCACTTAAACGGATCTTCATGGTAATACTGGCCTGCTTAGGTTTTGCTCTATTTAGTGTATTGAGCACTTTACGTAGTTTTCTTTTTACTCGTTTTGTTTTTTTTTCTTTGGACTTGGAACTTGAACAATGGAGGATTGTTTTCGCCTTGGTTTCATGTTCTTGGTTCTTTCTTTTTTTATTCCCCATTTTTCCTCGGGTACCGATATATTCTACTGCAAGTTGAGCTATCCGAGGATTTTCCAAACGAGTACCACCATTTCTCTCTCTCTCTCTCTCTCTCTATATATATATATATATATATATATATATATATATATATATATATTGACACGTTTCATTGAATAATTTAGATTAGTTTTGTCTTCTTATTTTCATCCTGATCCTTTTCGTCATATTCAATATCATCAGACAGGAGTTATTATTTTATTCAGGAGAGAGAAAAATCATCCTTGTTTAGTATACGTTATTATTTTTATTCCGAGTACTTTCGACATAGCACAATATCATCATCAGGGTGTTTAGTATAGGTTAATTATTTTAAGACGTATTATTGTAGTGTTCATCTTTTTCAAAGGCAAAATTGTTACGAACTGAAGAACGCTTGACTACCGCTGCAGGGAACTTAACTAAGTATGTCGAGAGTTTTTAAGAAATAAGTATTAAAAGTATTGGTATAAACCTTGATATTTTAAGCTATCTCTTGTACAAGGTTTTAAAACATTTGTACGGTATTTATAATTAATTTTATTAAGGTTTGGTTTCATTTTTTTATATAGATAGCTTAGAGAATTTTTTGTTTATATTTATTTTTTTCATGAAAATGTATAGATGTATTTTCGGTAAGATGTTTCTTAAATTGCGAATGTGGACAGGCATGCTATTGTAAATGTTAAGAGATATTAGATGCATCATTCAAATAAAAACTCAACCTTCAAGACAACGTAGTAGTGGTATAGCCATCATATATATTATTTTGTTCTGTTGTAGATACAATCTCTCAAGGGACATTTAAATTTATATACAATGTTGGTTTTCTGCATCAAGTAAGAGTTATTACGAATGAGTAAATTGAATATATTGAATTTAGTATATTATATAATTAATTTTATTACTAATAAACTTGTCATTACTTACGAGAGGATTCTACTAAAATAAGTAGACAAAACCTATCTAAATTATTTAATGAGACATGTCCTAATAAAAACAGGCTGCCAAAATATACGCAATACAAACACACGCAGTGAATCGACTTTCTTAGCTGCTGGCCTATAGTCTTTCCATTTCATGTCAACTGAGAACGTTAGTCCGAGAAAGCGCAACGAGTCACTTTCCTGGTGGATAGCATCAGCCATGCTGATGGAAGGCAGAGAGGGGTCTCTCAGATGTTTAATGCAGAGCAGTTTAGTTTTGGTGGCATTAAAATTGACAAGCCATCTTTTGCCCCAGTTAACAACGGTCTTGAGGTTGTTTTGTACCTCAGCTGTCATTTTGACTTTGTCGGACTGATCAGCTTTAGTGTCGAGGTAGGAGTAAATGGTAGTGTCGTCAGCGTAGATGCCAACTTGAGAGCTGATGTCATCAGGAAGGTCATTAATCAAGATTAAAAACATTGCAGGACCAAAGATGAAGCCCTGGGGGACAACCGCGTTTGTACGAACGGATGTAGGCGAATGGCCGTTCAGGACAACTTTTATTTCACGATTTGATACGAACGACTGCAACAGAGGTGGTGAGGGGCGATAAAGAGATCGCTGACAAAGTTTAATATCAAAAGACGGAAGCACATGAAAGAGTAGCCGGTGTTCTCGAGAAACAGTTCTCTGGTCAACGGAAGATTATCCTGGATTTAAACACCAATGCCATGCATGGGAATACTGGAATCTTTTCAGCAAAGGGGGAGGATACCCTGGAACCAATAATTCATTGGTAGCAATGGAAGAATTCAAGTAGGTTTCACAAAGGGCAAAAATATTTCTTGACTGTTCCAGGAAGAAAGATTATATACTGCAGAAGTTGGAATAGATACCATGAATATTGGTGAAAAAAGAATGAGGGGAATATGTGTTTTTTTTTTGTTTGCTGGTTTAATTATATATATATTTTTTTTTATTTTGACTTTCATGAGATTTTTTTGAGGAGAGAGAAAAAAGACCACCATAATTGTCTATGTCATCAATGGCAATACAAAGCAGCCAATGTGTGGCTGAGAACAGAGCATAATGTAGCCTCAGGGTTACCTACCAGAAATACATGCAAGGAAACCTACTCATGATACGGCATTACAGCTAGTGTTGGCCAGAGCAGCTTCTCTAAGCGCTACCAAAGAGTTCATGCTCCTAATTACCAGCTGGAAGCAGCAGCCAGAAAACTGCCAAACCGGTACCCTCACAATGGAAAGTCACAGCCACTGGTTAGTCTGATCAACGAAAAGTTAAGACAGTCAAATCATTGTGGCCCTGGTAGAAGAAAAAGAGAACTGGTAAAACATATCCTGATCAGGGAACAAGGAACAAACTTTATGCTAACAGAGTGTAATAACTAAAGTCAAAAGCACATGAAAGAATAATCAACAACCTTGAGAGAGATTTTCCTGGTCATCGGAAGATTATCCCAGATGTAAACACCAAGTCCATGTATGTAAATGCTGGAATCTTTTCAGTAAAGAGGAAAAATTCATTGGTAGCAATGGAAGAATTGAAATTGGTTTCATAAAAGGCAAATATATCTGGTGGCCATTCCAGGAGAAAAGATTCTACGCTGCAGAAGTTGGAATAGAATTGCGGTTGGGTAGTAGAATTTTTTTTTCTTAACTGGTCTAGTTTGATTTTTTTGTGTGTGATTTCCATGAGATATGTTTTGAGGACAGAGGAAAAAAAACACCATAATTTTCACTGTCATCAATACGGACCATCCAGTGCGTGGATGAGAGCAGAGCATAATGTAGCCTCGGGGTAGCCCACCGGAAATACATACAGGGATACGATGCGCGACATGGCCCTACAGATATCCCTGGATCGAAGCAGCCTCTTTATGACGCTACGAAAGAGTTCGAGTTCCTAACGACCAGTCACAAGCAGCAGCCAGCAAACATATAAGCCGGTACACTCAAAATGAAAAGTCACAGTCATTGGGTAGCTTGATCACGAAAAAATAGAAACAGTTAAAGCATAATGGTTCTGATAGAAGAAAAACAGAGAGAGGGTGAATTATATCCTGATCAGGGAACAAGGGATGAGACTCTAGTCCTGTCTCTTAGATATGAAAGGAGTGTGGACCGGACGATAGGTTAGCCTTTCAATTCCTATTAACCTGTGGGACAAAATCACATAAAATAGAAATAAATTCATATTAAGTTATGACTTAGTATAATTTCTGATGTCTACTAACAACTAAAATATGAGATAAGACTTAATTCAATTTTGTCTCATCAATTTTTTAGCATTGATAAGAAACGCTCTAATGTAAACACATTTGAAATGAAACAAGATGTGAAAAGGGACTGAAATATGACGTTTGATAATAGCAAGGCGGGGACAAAATACACACGACAAATTGAAGGACAGGTGTAAACACCAAAGTCTAGTGCAACAAATAACAACAAAAACAACATTAACAAATAAAAAGACCACTATAATTTTCCTTATTTTCCTGTTATCAATGCGTGCCTGACAGCAGAACATAATGTGTGGCCTCAGGGTTGCAAACCCGAAAAACATGCAGGGACACCTACCCATGCGCGACATGGCACTACAGATAACCCGTTTTTTTGGGGGGGGCAGTTTTTTTTTTTTTTTTTTTTTTTAGCTAGTCTAGTTTTAATTCTTTTTGTTGTGATTTCCATGAGATATATTTTGAGGAGAGAGGAAAAGACCACGATAATTGTCACGATCCGCCGTCAATACGGACCAGCCATTGTGTGTCTGATTGCAGTGCATAATGTGGCCTCAGGGTTGCCCACCGGAAAAAAACATGCAGGTATACCTACCCATGTGCGACATGGCTCTACAGATACCCCGGATTGAAGCAATCTCTTTATGACGCTACCAAAGACTTCGGGCTCCTAACGACCAGGCGAAAGCAGCAGCCAGCAAACATATAAGCCGGTACACTCAAAATGAAAAGTCACAGCCATTGCGTAGCCTGATCATGAGAAAATAGAGACAGTTAAAGCATAGTGGTTCTGACAGAAGAAAGAGAGAGAGACGGTAAATTATATCCTGATCAGGGAACAAGGGATGAGACTCTAGTCTTGTCTCATAGATATGAAATTAGTGTGCACCGGACGATAGTTTAGCCTATCTATTCCTGTTAACATGTTGGACAAAAGCACATAAAATAGAAATAAATTCATATTAAATTATGACTTAGTATAAGTTCTGATGTCTACTAACAACTAAAACATGAGATGATAAGACTTAATTCAATTTTGTCTCATCAATTTTTCAGCATTGATATGCAAGTCTTCTTCTTTTATGTTCCGTGCCCCTTTAGAACGTAGCCGAACATGGCTCTCCACTTCTTCCTATCTCTTATAGGTCTCAATAAGTTTTGTTCCTTTGCTACTTCTCCCAGGCCATGTTCTGTCATCCACTTGCTTAAGCTCGCAAGTTAAGTCACGAATTGCTTTCTCTTGTCTCTCTTTTCCTCTATTCGCCCTGTGAGTATCAAATTCTCCAAGCCCGTCTTTCTCATTAAATGTACCATAAAATTCAGCTGCCTCTTCCTGATGTTAAGTATAAGCTTCCTCCTTGTTTGCATCCTCTCCAAAACCTCATCGTCGCTAACATGTCCAGTCCATGATATCCTTAGCATCCTTCTGTAGCGCCATATCTCTGTTGCTTCGAGTCTCTTCTTCATCTTTGAGGAGACCGTCCAACATTCGCTGCCGTAAAGGAGGACAGATGACACGTAACAGCACAGCACTCTTTACTTTGTTACTAAAATCTCATAGTTGCTTACATGTTCTGTCCATAGTATCCTTAGCATCCTCCTGTAGAACCATACCTGTGTGGTCTCGAGTTTCTTCTTCATCTTTGAGGAAACCGTCCGACATTCGTTGCCATAAAGAAGGACAGAGGTCACATAGCAGCTCAGTACTCTTTTCTTTGTTACCAAAGAAATCCTCTTGTCTCGTAATACTCTGCCTAGCTTTTGGAATAGGTATTTTGGCCAGCCAAAAGCGTCTTAATGATAATAACAATAATTCTTACAGAGGACGGTAAGTGCGATGCTGAGATCCGAAGACGTAACAAATAAAATTCAAAGAATAATACAGATATTTAAACAACCAGGCAAGGTAATTTACATATATATATATATATATATATATATATATATATATATATATATATATATATATATATATTGCGTATTTAGGCAGCAATTCTTAATTTATACAAAACGGAAACGTATGTAATATGAGAGTAACCTTCTTCATCTTGGAATTTCTCGTTAGTTGATTAGTTACTAAGATGAATTAGTCAAACAACTTAGTATACATTTTATGGAACTCTCCTGTCATTTTGTTCAAAATTTCTTGCTTTTGATACTGTATAGTCAGCGCCAAACTATAGACCCTATAGGAGAATTGTCATTTAATTGATAGCACTTTTCTTTGTGTGTATATATATATATATATATATATATATATATATATATATATATATATATATATATATATATATATATATATATATATGTATGTATGTATGTATGTATGTATATATATAACACACTGTGAGAATCTACTTTTTTCAGTTGACGTTGCTTTTCTTGCAAGGAAAAAACGACTGTACTGCTAATGAAAACTTCAAAACAAATGAAATTGCGTCGGCTTAAACGCTGTCAAATATGTTGGTGATCTTGTTCATCTTTGAATTTCCCGTTAGTTGATTTGTTACTAAGATAAATTAGTCAAACAGCTTAGTATACATTTTATGGAACTCTCCTGTCATTGTGTTCATTCTCCCGCAGTGGGAAATTAGTAGTCTGCATACATAACTATCTTTATATTTTATTTAGAGACGAAAAATTGGTAGTTTCTGAATATTTTTTTCTGAACGATGCTTGTCGAAATTACAATCGTTTATAATAACATATTCTGCAAACTCCGTTGATGTCACATTGTTGTGTCTGACATCAAACCTGAAGAAGACAGATATTCTGTTGAAATATTATTAAACATTGTCAAACACTGTTTTCTTTATCTTTTTTTTAAATCGCTCTCTTCTCTTAGCTTGTGGAAAGATATTGAAAGAGTTACGTCAAACATTTTATTTATTATCATTATTATTATTATTAATAATAATAATAATAATAATAATAATATTGTGTGTGTATAATGTTTTCTGTTTTGTAACCTGTAGAGCCAGGTCTAAACTATGGTCCTTAGGCCCTATAGGAGAATTGCCATTTAATTGATAGCGCTTTTCTTAGTATATATATATATATATATATATATATATATATATATATATATATATATATAGTATGGCGATCGTCTGGGCAACTTGCATGTTGATTTTACCTCGGACACTGTTAGTAAAATTTTCCATTCCTTTTCTCACAAGGCCCAGTGTTCCGATTACTATTGGTACAGTCTCCGTGTTCATTTCCCATATCTTATTAATCTGTCCGTCACTATTCTCTCCTACATACGTTGCTTGCCTTGTTATGAAAAAAACAACTGCACTGGCAATCAGCGCGTCAAAATGAATGAAACGCTTCCGAGTGAAGGCATGAAACTGAAGCCTGCTTAATAGGATGGTGATCGTGTTCATTTTATGGATTTATTATATTTTTAACTGTTGAAAAATTATTGAACGTATTTCTTCCATCATTTTGTTAGATAATATTACTACTAAGCATACTACTAATGGAAATAAAGCAATTGCAATTAAGGTGAAAGAAATCCTTATCAAAAAAGAAAAATGCTTGACAAGACTTCATGTAATAACAATTCCGGATAATATTACTACTACTATTAGCGGAAATCCGGTGCATGCCGGGTAGGGTTATCATCTCTCAGTTGTGTCTATATCTTCGGGCAGGGAGATACGCAGCTGAGGAAAATAAATACTACGAGGTGCCCGGTCCGGGAGAATAGCGGCCAGATATTGGCCCGTCCCCTTGTAACAGAGAGAGAGAATCGGTAGTCGCTACCAAAGCAGGCGCAACTGACGGTTGCATTGGCTGGGCACTTTTTGTCCTTGGCCCGGGCTTATGAGCTCGGGTTCCTTTTGAAACGTTATCTTTTCGACATTATGTCCATTCGTCATTGGGCCCAGAATGTTTTTAATTTGCCCACTGGGCCGTCCTGATTCTAAAATGTTAGGTTAGGTTACGGCCTCTAGGACAACTTTATTTTGGCACACTGTAATTTGAGAACAGTATTTTTTTTCATTGAAACATGAGCTATTGAAAGTTAGAGAGTTGTGTCCCTTTAATTTTTTATCAACAGAGGCCAAGATAGCACAATCCGAAAATAATCGCAGAATGTAAAAAATTCAGGATTGCGGATAAAATAAAAATATCAGAAGCAAGATGAACACACGCACTCCCATACCGCACCACAATGTATTTTTCCGTGTGAGCAGGTGTTATTTATCTGAATGTCAAAATCAATTTAAGAATTATGGATTTAACGGGAAGACAACAGCCGTACCATCATATCGAACAAGTTAACACCCCCCAAAGATCATGTCCCGTGTTGATAACGTGCCATCAAGACTGTTTCTTCCCCCGGGGGCAGGTTTTATTTCAACCTTTGCCTGAGTGGTGGTATGGGGCTACTCCACTATTTCAATCTTGATATAGATTTTTTTCGTAACTAATCCCATGTCCAACACATATACCATTCGACCTATAAGCAAGCTCAAAATGACATACCGGACGATCAGAAAATAAAGATTCCATCTAAGTAGTGTTTGATTGGCATATCATGGGGAAGTCTGCTCTTGATCTGAACTGTAATCATCTGAGTTATGTCCCTTGTTTACTAACAATAGCGGAGAGAGCAAAGGTCACTTGCTGGATCGTGACCGCGAAGTTGGTTGAAAGCACGGAAAGCTTGTATTATATCGTAAGGTCAGATTGGCGATTTAACATTCATTCTTCTTCATGCTCATAAGTGTGTTTGTGTGTGTGTGTGTTTGTGTGTGTGTGTGTTTGTGTGTGTGTGTGTTTGTGTGTGTGTGTGTGTTTGTTTGTGTGTGTGTTTGTGTGTGTGTTTGTGTGTGTGTGTTTGTGTGTGTGTTTGTGTGTGTGTGTGTTTGTGAGTGTGTTTGTGTGTTTGTGTGTGTGTGTGTGTGTGTGTGTTTGTGTGTGAGTGTCTGTGTGTCCTGTTTAAAATGTTTCTTCATGTCTATCTATCGATCTATCTATCAATTTTGGTCTATTTATACATAACTTTCTGGCTATCATAGTATGTTCATATCAATCCCTGTCTCACACTCCCCTATATATATATATATATATATATATATATATATATATATATATATATATATATATATATTAACCTTTTCAAATCTATCTATATATTTATCTATTTTGGTCTATTCATAGGTATTACATATATATATTAATCTCTTAATCTGTTCATATCTATCATCTATCTATTTTAATGTGTTCATATGTATTAATCTAGCTATTTATCTGTTTTAGACTGTTCATATTGTTAGACCTATATATCTTAGTCTGTACATATCTTTCTACCTAGCTTAATCATATCTATCTATCTATCTATCTTAATCTATATATATCTACCTATCTAGATATATACCTATCTTAGTCAGTTGATATCCGATCACTGTCTATCTATCTATCTATCTATCTATCTAATATATATATATATATATATATATGTATTAATGTTTATAATTATCTTAGTCTGTCTATATCTACGTAAATCAGATCATATCTACCTATCTGTCTACTTAATCTATACATATTTGCCTATATATTTATACGTTCATATCTATCTATTTTAATCTTTTCATATATCTATATATACATATCTATTTTAGTCTATCCACAGATATATACCTATCTATGTTAGTCTGTTCATATCTATCTATCTATCTATTTTAGTCTGTCCATATGCAATCTATCTACCAATTTATCCATTTAAATACATATCTATGTATCTATCTATATGCCTTAATCTAATTACCTAAGTAAATATATCGTGTTTAAATTTTATGGGAGAAGACTGCTTAACATTTAAGATCAACTGTGATACAGAAATATAAATACATAATGAACCGATTGTGATAGATAGATAGATAGATAGATTTCTGAACATTAATACTTTATGGGTCTCCATTATGCGTGGACCGATGGTCGCAATGCGGTGTTGATTCCTAAAAGTCAATTCATAAGCTTCAATCAGCAAGGCTCAATACAAACTCTCTCATGCGAACCCATAAAATCTCTCGAAACTTTTACATACCTAGGAAGCAAAATAAATTCCATTGAATAGGCCTGGGCCGCCTTGAAATGTAATTCGAAAATCTGATCTGCTAGACAACCTCAAGCGGAGATCCTTTCGCGCCTCTCTAGAATAGAAGTACGGCGCCGCTGTCTGCTCATTAACTAAAAACCTAGAGTGTCAGCTTGATGGAACCAAAACTAGGAAGCCAAGAGAAATAATTAACATCTCTTGGAGAAAACATCCAACTAAATCGCACGTCTTTGAAGCTATCCTTGATATCTCTTCATTTTTACGTGAAAGCAGAATGCTTGTTGTAGGACACCGCTAGATCAACTGAAGAATGAAAACTATACATGGATAAAGGAAAAGGATCAAGGTAATAAGTAAAAATAGAAAGGATCAACGGAAGAAGGAAAAGATTGCTGGATACATAGAAAGGATCAATGATAGGAGGAAAAGGTATGCGCAGATATATAGAAAGGATCAACGGAAGAAGAAATAGTTTGCGCGGATAAATAGCAAGGATCAATGGATGAAGTTAAGTATGCCGGATAAATAGAAAGGATCAATGTAATAAGGAAAAATATGCGAGGAAAAATAAAAAGAATCAAAGAAGGAGGAAAAGAATGCCAGATTAATAGAAAGGATCAACGGAAGAAGTTAAGTATGCGCGGATAAAGAGAAAGGATCAACGGAAGAAGGAATGTATGCGCGAATTTAATAGAAAGGATCCACGAATAAAGGAAAAGAGTGCCGGATAAATAGAAAGGATCAACGGAAGAAGGAAAAGATTGCCGGATAAATAGAAAGGATCAACGGAAAAAGGAAAAGCATTCGCGGATAATTAGAAAGGATGAACAGAAAAAGGAACGTGTGCGCGGATAAATAGAAAGGATAAACGGAAGAAGGAAAAGCATGCGTGGATAATTAGAAAGGATGAACGGAAAAAGGAAAGCATGCGCGGATAATTAGAAAGGATCAATGATAGAAGGAAAAGTATGCGCAGATATATATAAAGGGTCAAGGGAAAAAAGAAAAGTATGCCGGATAAATAGAAACGATCAACGAAAGAAAGAAATATGCGCGGATAAATTCAAAATATCAAATAAAGAAGGAAAAATATGTGCTGATGAATAGAAAGGTTCAACTGAATAATGAAAGTATCCGCGGATAAATAGAAAGGATCAACAAATAAGGCAAGTATACTAGGATAAATTGAAATGATCAAAGGAAGAAGGAAAATATGCGCGGATAAATAGAAATGATGAACGGAAGAAAGAAATCTATGCGCGGATAAATAGAAAAGATCAAAGGAAGATGTAGAATATGCGCGGATAAATATAAAAATCAAAGGAAGAAGGAAATTTCGGCATGGATAAATAGAAAGGATCAACGGAAATATGGAAAATATGCTCGCATAAATGGAAAGGATCAACGAAAGAAGTAAATATATGCGCGGATATATAGCAAGGATCAGCGGAAGAAGGAAAATTATGCCCTGATAAAAAGAAAGGATCAACGGAGGAAGGAATGTATGCGCGGATAAATAGAAAGGATCAACGGAAGAAGGAAAAACATGCGCAGATAATTAGAAAGGGTGATCAGAAAAAGGCACGTGTGCGCGGATAACTAGAAAGGATCAACGGAAGAAGGAAAAGCATGCGCGGATAATTAGAACGGATGAACAGAAAAAGGAAAGTGTGCGCGGATAAATAGAAAGGATCAACGGAAGAAGGAAAAGATTGCCGGATGCATAAAAAGGATCAATGATAGAAGGAAAAGTATGCGCAGATATATAGAAAGGATGAACGGAAGAAGGAAAAGTATGCCTGATAAATAGAAAGGATGAACGGAAGAAGGAAAAGTATGCCTGATAAATAGAAAGGATGAACGGAAGAAGGAAAAGTATGCCTGATAAATAGAAAGGATGAACGGAAGAAGGAAAAGTATGCCTGATAAATAGAAAGGATGAACGGAAGAAGGAAAAGTATGCCTGATAAATAGAAAGGTTCAACGGAAGAATAAAAAAGTATGCGCGGATAAATAGAAACAATCAATTGAAGAAAAAATGCATATCAGAATAATTAGAAATGACTAACTCTAGAAGGAAATTATGAGCAAGTAAATAGAAAGGATCAATGGAAGAATGAAAATTAGCCGCGGATAAAAAGAAAAGATCAACGGAAGAAGGAAAAATATGCGCAGATAAATAGAACATGTCAATAGAAGGAAACTATGTGGGGATAAATAGAAAAGGTCAACGGAAGAACAAAACGTATACGCCAAAAAATAAAAAAGGATCAACGGAAGAAGGAAAAATATACGCGCCAACATAGAAAGGATGAACTGAAGAAAGGAAAAGTATTCGCAGATAAATAGAAAGGACCAAAGGAAGAAGGAAATGTGTTCACGGAAAAATTAAAAGGATCAACGAGGAAGGAAAACCATGCGCGGATAAACAGAAAGGATCAACGGATAAATAAAAAAATTATGCACGGATAATTAGAAAGTATCAACAAAAGAAGAAAAAATATCCGCGGATAAATAGAAAGGATCAACGGAAGCAATATTATTATTCATCATGACATTCGCCTCGGACGATGTTCTCTCACCATCTGCTGTCGATTGAAAAGGACATTGTTAGCTTCGAATCCATGCAAGTTATCTGAATTCTGATCGATTTCAATTAACATCATTGCAACCAAGAGCACATTGAGTTGGCGTCACGATTTTCTGAAAAGCGAAGTTTTGTCGACGAAAAGCGGGATTAATTACACTGCCATCGTTTGGTCGTTAATTAGAGATACAATATGGCGCCCAGCAGTACTGAAAAAATTCTACCAGCGTCAATAGGAAAAACGCTCTGAATTAGGCATGGGCAACCTTTTTCATGAATTGGTCCGCGTGATCTATGTCTCATCACAAAGTGGTCCGCATTAAAAAAAAATACAAGGTAATTTTTCGCAGTCTGGTACTCAAGCTACTTCCATTACAGAAGAACATATACCTAAGCATATACCTTGGAAATGGTAGAAAATATTTTTTTTTGTTTGTTTGGTTTTTTTTTAATTATTTTTTTTATAATTAAAATACTGAAGTTCCATTCTAATATTATCACTGATAGCCTTTTGATTCTCCTTTCTTTTCTTTTATTTCTTTTCCCTCTTTTTCTTAGACTTTTCTTTCTTTTTCTTCTTCATTTACTTTACTTCTTTTTACTCTACTTCTCTCTCTTTCTTGTCTTCCTCATTTTCGTCTTCCTCTTTTTTCTGTTTCTTTTCCTCTTCTTCTTCTTTTTCTTTTTCTTCTTTGACATCCCATTTTCATGCATCCACATTGACAAATATGGATCCTCTTACGCTTTGGAACCTTTTACCAAGTAACGCTTAATTGTTCAATTTCTCTTTTTCGACAGCGGGAAACGAAACCGCGTATACTGAAATACTGCACATCTATTTATCTCTACTTATTTACACTATTTATATTCGGACTATTAAACCTCCTACAGAAAGGAGAGAAGGAGAGCAAGAAGAAGGGACTAAGCATCAACTACAGGACAGAATGCATGCTCATCAGTAAAAGAATGAGCCCGAAATACGATTTAAACGGCGGGGACACAAGAATCAAGCGGAAGCGGAAATTGAAATATCTGGGAAGTGTTCTAGCAGAGGACGGCAAGTGTGGCACTGAGATCCGAAGAACGTATTGGGATGACGAAAGGCGCATTCCAAAAGCTAGGCCGAGTATTACAAGACAGGAGGATTTCTTTGGTAACAAAGAAAAGAGAACTGAACTGCTACGTGATATCTGCCCCCCTTTACGGAAGCGAATGTTGGATGTTGGACAGTCTGCTCAAAGATGAAGAACAGACTCGAGGCAACAAAGGTTTGTTTCTACAGAAGGATGCTAAGGATATCATGGTCTAGGCGTTTTGAGCAACGATGAGGTTTTGGAGAGGATACAAACAAAGAGGAAGCTTATACTTAACATCAGGAAGAGGCAGCTGAAATTTCTGGGGCACGTAATGAGAAAAGAGGGCTTGGAAAATCTGATACTCACAGGGCCGATAGAGGGTAAGAGAGACAAGAGAAAGAAATCGGTGACATGCTTAACGAACTTAAGCAAGTGGATAGCAGAACAGGGTCTGAGAGAAAAAACAAAAAGACAAAATTTATAAGGGACTGGAAAAGGTGAAATGAGAGGCCGGAGAGCATATTGGCTGAAACGTTTTTATTAAAACGACAAAGATAAGGACAATGGTCCGAATATAAATAGTGTAAATAATGATAACTCCTCATTTCAGAAATTCAGACAAAAAAGAAAAGGTCGAAAACAATAGGAATTTTTTAAAAAAGCAGGAAAGTAGAAGAAAAAAATGAATAACATATAAAAAAGAATTCCTAAAACAGAAAGAAAAAGACGAGTGTGAAAATAAAGAGAGAAACAGAATTAAATTTTGCATTATTTACATTATTCGGACTGTTATCCTTATCTTCATTGTTATATTCACAACGTTTCGGCCGTTGTATACTCGGGCCTTCTTCAGGTGATTGGATCTCTGAGATGAGGTATTATGTTTATTTGCATTATTCGGACTGTTATCCTCATCTTCATTGCCATATTCACAACGTTTCGGCCGTTATATACTCGGGCCTTCTTCAGATTATTGGATCTCTGAGATGAGGTATTATGATTACTTGCATTATTTACATTATTCGGACTGTTATCCTTATCTTCATTGTTATATTCACAACGTTTCGGCCGTTATATACTCGGGCCTTCTTCAGGTGATTGGATCTCTGAGATGAAGTATTATGATTACTTGCATTATTTACATTATTCGGACTGTTATCCTCGTCATCATTGCCATATTCACAACGTTTCGGCCGTTATATACTCGGGCCTTCTTCAGGTGATTGGATCTCTGAGATGAGGTATTATGTTTATTTGCATTATTTACATTATTCGGAGTGTTATCCTCATCATCATTGCCATTTTCACAACGTTTCGGCTGTTGTAGATTAAATAAAGGGTTCAGTTCAGAATTCCCTGTAAGTTACCCAGATCGATATACACCTGACGAAGGTCGGAGAGCACAACGGCTGAAACGTTGCGATAACAACAACGATGAGAAGAATAGTCCGATATAAAAGGTACAATTAATGATAACTTCTCATCCCAGAAATTCAGTGATAACAACAAAAAAGATGAGGACAATAGTCCGAATATAAATAGTAATAATAATAAAACCTCATCCAAGATACAGACAAAAAAGGGAGAAGATGAAAAAAGAAGTAAATTTAAAAAAGAAGAAAATTACAATGAAAAAGATAAATGGAAAAGTTAAACTAAAAGGACCTTGTTGTTAGGTTAGATGCGGATCTAAAGTCAATACGCAGTTCTGCTCTTAAAAATATCTAGGTGCCAAATCCTGAAGCGATAACCTCCAAGTCATATGCAGAACTAAACATAAAATTAAAAGAATCCTAAAGCATCGCCTAACATGCAAGACGACAAAACTTATAGAGAGTTAAAAACAAATATTAAACATTGGAAAATATGACGATCTCAAAATGAAATTCTTAAGGGAAGTTCTGGTGACGAAAACAAAAGACATCATCGTAAGGGAAAAATAAAAATAAAATGGCCGACAGTTGAAATCAGCGATAAAATCGAGAAAGGAATGGCGCAAAGTTTATTAAGTTTATCAAAAACAAAACAAAGAAATGCAAGTAAACAAAAGATGAAGGGATCAAGGAGAAATGTACAAAAATTAGCGATCATGACTCTCCACAATTTCCTGTACTTTGAATCTGTTAATAATTTTTGTCTTTTTCTTATCTCACCTAAACTATGTTGTGTCATTACTTTACACGTGGTCGTTTTTCTTCTATGTGCCGTGTTCCTTCAAGCTGTTAGTGGTCATGACTCTCCACAATTTCCTGTGTTTTGTAGCTGTTAATAAATTTTTATCTATTTGCTATCTCTCCTAAACTATATCCTGTCATCACTTTACACAAGGTCCTTCTTCTTCTTCTTCTTCTTCTTCTTCTTCTTCTTCTTCTATGTGCCATGTAACTCCATGCTGTTGGCGAGCACGGCTCTCCACAATTTCCTGTCTTTTGTAGCTATTAATAAATTTTGTCTTTTTGTTATCACTCCTAAACTATGTCCTGCCAGCACTTTACACAAGATCGTTCTTCTTCTTCTATGTTCCCTCTTCCTTCAGGCTGTTAGCGATCATGGCTCTCCACAATTTCCTGTTCTTTGTAGCTATTAATAAATTTTGTTGTTTTGTTATTGTTGTGGATTCCGGGATGAAATCCGGTCTCAAATGAATGACAAACGCAGGAATGAAATATAACAAATAAATGTATTGACGTAATAATACAATTGGTAATACGGTTAGTAGATCCAGAAATGCGGTTAGTAGCAATAACTTAAAATATATATACAGTCTGGGAAATTCAGTATCGAAGTATGGCTTCCTTCTGAGTCTACGTGCTCGCAACTGTGACTCCTACAGAACGGTTACCTCACACAATCACTCTCTCACTCCCGGGCATTCACCGACAGCAGTACAAGTACACACTGGTCGAGTCCACTTGTATGAAAAAGGGGTGGACCCCATAACGGCTATCTCTCATAAGCCAGTTCGTGCATCACTTATACAGTGTTATGAAGACATATCAAATATTGGGAAAAAGATCAGGATCTCAAAGAGAAGTACCGGTGTATTTCGGAACTCCCTGTAGGTTACCCAGATCAATTTACACCTGTAAAAGGCTGGACAGAACAATGGCCTAAACGTTTATTTTTTTTATAAAAACAACAAAGATGAGAACAATATTCCGGATATAAATCGTGTAAATAATGATAACGCTTCATCCCAGAAATTCAGGCAAAAATAGCTTTACTTGATAACAAATATTTTACAAGTATCATATTTTACTCTGATTTTGAATTTTTATTTTTATTTTTCAGGTATATCAAGATGTCTAGTCCCAACATGAACAACATGATAGTCATGGGATGCATTCTTACCTACGTCAGCGTTTTCTTACTTGGTACAGACGGCCGAGTCCTTTCTCACAGTACTTTTGCATTTATGTGCAATGTAAGTATATTACTTACCCTTCTTACTTAATATAAGTAAAGTTACTCAGTGCAGACTTTTAAGTTAGGATCATAAAGAGGCCTAATTGAAGCTCTGATCCA